GGAAGTGGGGGCGGGAGGGCTGGGAAGGGGGGCCGTGAGGAAGGGGAACGGGGGGGAATTGGGGACGGACCCTGGGGGACATGCCCAGAGCCCCGCAGCGTTGGCAGCCCAGAGCCCGAGGCTCGGCCGGGGGGAGCCGTTCTCCAGGCCCAGGCAACCCGGGGGGCTGGGGAGCTCCCCGGCAGGGGCAGAGCCAGGGGCCCGGCCTGGGGTGATTCCTGCCCGGGGAGGGGGGCTGGGAAAGTCCCCAGGGCCCCCAGTCACCCAGGCATGATGTGGGGCGTGGGCCGGGGCAGGGACTGTGAGAGGCTCTTAGGCCGTTGTATGGACCAGCGGCTCTGGACCTTTCTAGGCTCCTGCCCCACTGGCAGGACTCAGATTTGTCTGCCCTGCCCCCAGGCTTCACCTCAGTGTCACAGCCAGGCCAGGACTGAGCAACGGCTTCCCTTCTCATTTCTATCGTGTCGGCATCAAATAAACCAACTATCGCACGTGCATGTCAGTGCACAGAGCCGTGGACACAAGCCGTGGTGTGAAGTCTGAGTTTGTCCTGACGTCACTAGTGCTTTTTCTGTAGCCTGTTGTAAAACCATGCAACTATCCAGATGAGCTGATGGACCCCCGCAAGACCTCTCAGTACCCCCGGGGTGCACCTACCCCTGGCTGAGAGCCACTGGCATCTATAACTCCTAAATAACGGGCCATAAGGAGTGCGGTCGGGGTGGGGGTCACTGGTCCGGATCCAGCCAGCTCAGTCCTCAATCAGGCAGCTCTGACCGGCTGGCTGGGGTTCTCAGAAGACGCCAATAAACTAGCAGATAAGAGGGGCCCATTGGGTGCTTAGTGGGGATTTCACAACACTTTTGATAAGGTGTCTCCATAAAAAGCTCTTCGGGGAAATGAATAACCCCTGGTAGGAGGGGAAGCGTTGTGGTGTGTTGGCCGCTGGCTGGGTGGGGCGAAGCAGGGAGCTGTGGTGAGCTGCAGCTGGCCTGTTTGGATAGAGGTTAATAGTGGGTGACTTGTTTGGGTGTTGGGCCCTGGGCTGTAGAGATTTAGAGGAGGCAGTGACTGCGGGTTGATGAAATTCACCAAGGACCCTAAGGTGTGCGAGAGGCTCAGCTCCAGGTGGGAGTGAGCGTGGCCATGGGTAAGGCGACTTGTGCTGGTGGAGCTGGTGTCTCACGCTGCTGGGCTCTGCATTTCCAGGACTTGCCAGGAGGGAGCTCAGGAGGTGTTGGGGACCTTGAGTGGTGCTGGAGTCTCATCTCATGGGCTGTCTGGCTGCCTTCCAACCGTGAGAGAGAATCTCCTGAGGCTGCAAAGCTGCAGAGAAGGGCACTGCGGATGGCCAAAGGTACGATGGGGTAATTTAGCTCTAGGATGAACGAGAACTGGTCCGTCCAGCCGCCTTCTTTCTCCCATCATCTGAGCCCCTGGAGTTCCACAGGGACACTAGTGGCAGGTCCATTTAGCTCCGGTTAAAGGAAGTCCTGGTTTGTGGAGCAGACTCAGCTTCCTGCGGCAGGAGGGCAGGGAGATCAGTGCTGGGGCTGGATCTGAAAGCTGCTGCTGTTGGTAGCTGTCGTGTTAAACTGGGAGCGGGTGGATCTCTGCCCGCTCAGAAACGCCCATTGCACAACTTCCCGCAGGCCCCGTTGCACAATTGGCCTGGCGCACGCTGCCTGCGGGGAAGGAGCCGTGCGAGGTTTGTCGAGGTGCTCGATGCTCTTATCCCAGCACCTGGCGCTCAGCTCTAGAGCTCAGCATGTTCCGTGCCCTGAAGAGCTTTTGGCCGTGTACAAGAGCAGGGAGGTTTGCAGAACCTGAATTCCTGAGCCGTGCTGGGCTGTGTTGATTTCCGGGGCAGCTCTGCATTTTTGACTTACCCACTCCTCCCTTGTAATAGGAACAGCCAGTTGTTCCCACCCCCGTTCTGTATCAGTGCACTTGAGCAGGAGGCTCTTTTTAATCGCCGGATTCCAAAGGGATCCGCCATCCTGACTTCTGACATGCCCGCTCTGTGCTGGCTGCCACAGGGCAACTGCCAGGAGCCCTCCCAAGGATGCAAACAGGACTCTTGCTCCAGTAACACTGCAGTGACTTGCCTTGTCCTATGGCCCCCTGAGATTAACACCCTGGAGGGGTTAGAGCAGTGGTCCCCAACTTTTTCCATGGAGCGGGCGCCAGACGACTAGCCGCCGAGGACCGTGGCTGCTGGACAAACAGCCGCTGAAATGCCGCCGTGAAGCGGAAACGTCAAGAGGCGTCGCCGCCGAAATGCCGCCGTGAAGCAGTGTCATCAAGAGGCGGCATTTTGGCAGTAGCGCTTCTCGGCAGCATTTCGGCGGCTGCTTTTCCAGCAGCCAGTAGGCGGGCACACATGGATGCCCCGGCGGGCGCCACATTGGGGACCCCTGGGTTAGAGGAAGCAGCATCAGGCCGGCCGCGAGGATGAGGTGCCTGTAGGACATTCCAGGTTGCAACCTGGAGCAGGGAGGGGCTGCATCACCACTTGCCCTGCAACCTGGGGGGCCTCCCAATGCTTTGCTGCTGTAGCTCCCAACCTGGGCTCCACACAAACAGCCTGCCAGCACGCGGGTCACCCCCCGAGTGTCTGTGTGTGTAGCTGCAGCTCTGACCCCAGCAGCCTGTCAGCAAACACCAGCCACACACTGTCTTCCAGGAGCTGTGGTTACAAGCTGCAGGGTGATCCCAGCACACTCCCAGTCCTGGATTCTTCCCCCCCCGCCACACACACACAAAGGTTGTTCTGCACTGTCCAGCCCCCTCCTCAGCGTACAACAGTCGCTCCCGTAAATGAAGTTACCCAACCAATTCACAACGCTGAATTCATTTTCATTAAAGAATGAAACAAGTTTGTTTATTTACAAAGAGGGAGATTTTGAGTGACTACAAGCATAAGGCATTGAAGTCGGAAATTCTTACAAGAGAGAGATGAAGATGAAACGCTTTCTGAGCTTACAAACTAGACTTGGGTCCTGCTGAAGTCCCATACTGCAGGTTTTCAGTATATTGCTGACCAAACCTGTAGGCCAGGATCTGCTTCCGAAGTCCACAGACTGTTTCTTTTGTCGTCGATTGTCTTTGGTGGAAAAGAGAGATGGAGAGGGAGAGAGAACTGGGTGTGGTTTTGCCCCTCACTTTTACAGTTCAATCATCCTTTGAAATGCATTTTCCTGAGAGTTACCCCTAGTTAAAGTTCATTCACCCCGTAAAGAAGGCCATGTGGTGTCTGGTGGTGAAAGAGGATGCACGCTGGTTCTTCTCACCTTTGTTTGCTGAAATGCAGATTTTCCTTGTCTCCTGTTTTCCCCCCTCTCGCTGTCTGAGGATCCTGTTATAAATTGAGATGAACACACATCCTGTTGTTTAGGACCTGCCCAGGCGGGGCTACATGGGTTTGAACATGTGCCACCAATGTCATTGTGAAGGGATTTCTAACTTTACATGGAATGTTGCTACCCACATTCTGCCAGGATGTTATTGACCAGCGAGTTATTATTTTTCAGATGCTACCTGACCAGGCCTATTTTGCCCACAGCCGATGACGGGGTTTGTAGGGTGTGAATACAGGGTGCGTTCCGTCCCAGCCTGACGCTGAGATGATGTGGCCATGGAGCAGGGTGATGACAGGCGAGGGTCAGTGGGGAGGCGGGTGGCTAGAGAGCTAGATCTGGGACCGGGTGGTGGCAGGGAGGTGCTTGGGGCACGGGTAAGGTCACTACAAGGGTGTGGGGCATCCAGTGGGCTGTACTGTTATGTAGGAATCCAGGCCAAGCTCCAGTGGCTTGCCCTCGCGTTCTGCCCATTGGGCAATGGATGGGTTCTGCAGTGGTCCCAGCTCGGGGAGCTAATGCTGTAGTTGTAACACACCAGGTGATGTGGCTGGAGGCTGCAGAGACCCTTTCCCCAGGGGCTTGGGAAGAACAAGGCTCAGCAGGTTCCCTCTTGCTCCCGTGTCCCAGTCACTGGATCTGTCAGCCTTAGCTCCTAGTCTTAAGCCGATCACACCCCCATAGATACACCTCCGGTCCGCTCTGCCTTGCTGGGGAGCCTCCCTACACACAGCTCATCTCCGCCTCTGCTCAGGTCTCTCATTGCCCAGAGCTCTGGCATCCTCTGATTCTCCACGTCCCCCCGTGTCCACTTCCACCCCTGGGGGGCTGCTGGTGGCACTTCCCAGCACCTCCATCTCCTCTCACCTCAACTGCAGCGGCTTGTCACCCCTCTTCAGGGCCCTGTAACTGCTAGCATGGGCAGAACGCTGCTCAGCGCCTCCCGGAGCCAGTCTCTCTGCCAGGCCTATGCTGGGTGCCCTCTCCTATTAGCCAGTGAGGGCTGGACAGGGAACCCATCGGCATCATTCCTGGGTCAGCCGGAGGAGTCACTGCAGAGCAGTCTGAGGTTCCCGCCCCGCCCAGGGGTGAGCACATGGGCTCTGGCCCCCCGGCTGGGTCATGGGGGATGGGCCGGGCCACTCTTTGTGTTGTCGTTTGTATGGGGGGATCTGCGTAGAGCCCGGACTCACCCTGGCCTTCCAGCGGGTCTAATCACTCAGCCTCCCCCAGCTGCCTGCTCCATAGCAGGCTCCTACCCTGTGCTCTGGCTGTGATTTAGCACGTGTGGGGTGGTCAGTCCGTGTGCTACTGGGGGACCCTGGGCTCTGCCCCACAGCAGGTCTGGTCAGAACTGACACAGGGCACAGAAAGGTGCAGGGAGCGGGTCCCACAGCTGCTCTTGAGCCTGGGTCGAAAATCTGAATAGAGGGTCTGAAGACAGCTCGCCCACTCCTGAGGGCCTTGCCCAGCTGTCAGCACCCCTGGATCCTGCCTGCAGCTCTGCCCTGGGCTCTGACAGCGCGAATAGGAATTGACCATTGGCTTGTTGCATTCAGCTCACTGGCTTATAACCGTGCTGAGACGTTGAATGGGAGCATTCGGACGTGCTCACTCCGTGTATTGTCCCGCCGCACCGCCCCTGCTCGAGCCCTGGCCGCTGGAGCTCGGCGCTGGGCCCTGCTAGGACAGTTCCACCCAGCACACCAGGCTGCCGGCTCGCTGGTAACAGATGTTGTCTCTTTCAGCGATGGCTGGCTGTGGGGATCCCTGCTCCAGCAGCTCTGGACTCCTCATTGCCCTTCGCCTGGCATAGCTCGGTCTGTTGGGAGAGATTCGGTTTTGGATCCACCGGCCTATGAGGTAACCCCAGGTATAAACCCCCTGTTCTCCCCACCCCTCCGCTTCCCAGCTGCCCAGCGAGAGGGGACACGGGTGGGGCGGAGACAGCCCCTGCTGCCTTATAGGAATCAATTGGGTCTTCCCCCTTAGTCACAGACAGACCCTGACTCACTGGTCGTGCCCTGTTCCTAGTGGCCAAATGCTCAGACCAGAGATTGCCACCGTGAGCAGCTCTTTGCTGTCAGGCCCCTGCAGACAAGGGACTGGCTGGGCCATGGAGACTGACAGGCTGAGCCTCTGGGACAGGCGTGAGGCAGGCTGGACGGATGGGGCTGTGTGTAAGAAGCCGGCCCGGCTCTGTGCATGTACCTCAGTACCTGTCCGTCGCTGGGAGGGGGCTCTGCTGCTTCCTATGCCAGGTTCTCCTTCCCGCCCCATTCTCCCTGGCTCTGCGCCCTCTCCGCTGCAGCACGCCTGCCCCGGGAACCAGGGCCCCGTTTGCAATCCCTTCAGAGCTGGCGCTGTTCACCAGTGCATTAGCTGAACTGGACCTTGCTCTCTTCTCTTGCCAGGGCTGAGAGGATGGCTGCCTCCGTGATGGGCCAGGCCATGGTCACCCACATGCTGGTGGCCCTTTTCGGGATGGGCTCCTGGGTCTCCGTGAACTCCTTGTGGGTGGAGCTCCCCGTGGTGGTGAAGTGGCTTCCAGAAGGTGAGGCGCTGATGGGTGGTGATAAAGCGCAGCCTGTGGGCCTGGCATGGGTGATGCCCCTGGCTTCGCCTGGCATGTAGGAGCAGCCGCAGTGGGGGGGTCAGGTGTCTTGCCTTCTGCTGTGCCGTTCATCTTCCTTTCTAGCTGCCCCGGAGCCAGCGGAGAGGGGGAAAGTGTTGAATGGGGAATTGCTGTCGTTACTCGGTAACATCCCTGTGATCGTGAACGGGGGTGGGTGGGGCTCAGACAATCCCCGTCCTAGAGAAACAGCTGCGAAGCTGCTAGTCCGGGGCTCGGCGACTAGGGGTTCTCACTTAGCCCCTCCCCAGCGGTGTAAGGCCTCCGAATGCCGCGTTAGCCTGCGTGGCTCCGACTGCCCAGGTCACGAAGGCTCAGAATGGGAGCCAAAGCTGGGCACGCTCCTGCAGCTCGTGACTAACCCAGCTACTGGCCTGCCACCCCGCCCGAGCAAGGCCCCAGAAGAGCAGCTGGAACCCGGCTGGCTCTGGCTGCCGGCGGTGTCCTGGACTCAGAGGGGGCCGGTGTCCGGAGCTGGCTGCGCAGAGATGTGCTGCCCTGGAAGCGTGCGGAACGTGTTGTGCTAGCTGAGCACGAGGATGCACTAGCTCCAGCCCAGAGCCCCAGGCAACAAACAGCACGGTCCAGCCGACCGGGCGGAGAACAAAGGCAGGAAGGGCCGAGCTCCTCCGGCTTCCAGGGCCCAGGGCGAAGGAAGAGTCATTGGCGGGCCCTTGGTGGAGAGGGAGGCAGCAGGGACACCGCTGGTGTGAACACGGGCAGCAGCCCTCTGGGCTCTGGATTGCTAGCCGGGGCCCTGAGTGCAGGGTTGCCGTAGGAGCTGGGAACGCAGGCCCCAAGGGAGCTTTGTTCTGCTCCCGGGCTGCTGGGCGGCCGTGCCGGGGGGCTCGGCCGGCCTAGTGAAGAAACGCTGTGGAGTCCCTGGGGGTCCAGCAGAACTTCTCCCCGAGGGGAGCCCTGCCTGGGGGATGGTTGGGGTATCCCGGTCTCCGTGCTGGGAGCCAGCAGGTGCTGCCTGGCCTTGGCCTTCTGCCCACACTACCCAGAGGAGAGCAGCTCTTAGCCCGTCTCTTGGGGGTGCAGGCTGTGCGCTGGGGAAGGCCAACGGGGCGGGCTGACTGGGGGTTTCCGGAGTGCTGGGGCTGGCTCGTTAGCGGGATAAAGAGCCGTAGGCAGGGCCGGGAGGCTCCAACCCGGTAAGTTAGTGTTAGGGCTGTTCCAGTTCCGCCCCCCAAACGGGTGAGGCTCTGTTCATGCTCGGGAGGGATTGTGCTGGGGAGCCCATAGCGCTGCAGTGATCTGCACCGGCCCCACGCACGGCCCTGCCACAGCCACGCCATGAGCGCAGGAAGGCGGCTCTTCGCCCTTTGCTCGATCCGACAGCAGGATCTGATCCCCCGGGCAGAGAGGGGCCCACTCGCCTCTTCCGTAGCCGGGTTGGCTAGGAGGAGCCGGCCTCGCGGGTTCCAAGCGCTCCCATGGGGTGGGCCACACCTTGGTGATTCTGGCAGAGACAGCGGAGGAGGAGCTGGGGGATTTCCAGGCTCCTTTTGTTCCTGGTTTAACTCCCCTCCTGTCTGCCCTTCTCTGCCACTCTGCACACACATGCCAGCCACCTGCCCCCCCGTCATGCCCACATTTGGTCCCCCGCACACACGCTACCCAGCCTCCTGGGGGCCCTCTTCTCCCCTCCCCTGCTTCCCGTGGCGCCTCCACCCCCTCGGGGCAGCTGCTTCTCCTCCTCCTCTGTGGAGGACCCCCGCTGCTCCGGCATGCTACCTCCCTGTCACACAGAGCCTGCATTGCTGGCAACCAGCCCTCCGCAGGCCACGGCAAGGGAGCCCTGGGGCTGGAGGGGCCCTAGCTGCAGGAGGCTGTCAGGCCAGCCCCACGCTCTGCACAGGCAGGGTCCTGGGGAGGGGGCAGGCAGCTGTGCTTCCCCTGGGGGGTTATTGAGGGTGCTGGAGATCTCGCCGTTGTGCCAGGGCTGCCCACCTGAAGGCTGCCTCTGCACCTGCTGCGGGCACATGGTGTTCCCGGCTAAGCACTGCCAGAGGCTGGAGTTGTTACCCGGCCGTGCCAAGGGAGGGCAGGTCCTGTTCCCGGCACTGTGTGCCTGAGCCTCCCCGCCTCTCAGCTGGATTCCCTCGGTGGAATTCCCCTGCAGCCTCCCCACGCGTGCCCTCGCCTGGCCCCTGCCACTAGGGCTGGCTGGAGCTCGGCTGAGAATAGCTCAGTTCTCGGGCGGTCTCCACGCAGACCCAGCGCTGGGGGGAGGGGGCCGTGGGTCCGGATTGAGGGGCAGCAGCAGAGCTGTGCGAGTTGCTTTGCTAGCAGCGTTTCATTAGCTGCAGAAGGGCCAGCGTCGGCCCTGCCCCCCACCCCCGGTCGCTATCTGCGGGGAGATCAGCCCCTGGGCTCCTTTCTCCTAGGTAGGGCTGCGCTGTGCGAATCCCACAGAAGGCCGCAGCAGCCCCATGGGAATGCTGCCTTATCTCCCCCCAAGCCAGAGCCGGGGTGATGCGAAACCCAGGCACTGGCCCCTTCGGGGTGCTGTCCTGAAGTCTGTTTGCAGCCTCTGCTTCCCTCTCTGGCCCTCTCTGGCTGCCCTGCATGGCAGCAGGGCAAAGGGCTCGGGGTGGCAGGGTGTCACTAGCGCTGCGTCTCTCCCCCTCCAGGCTGGAATCTCCCTGCCTACCTCTCAGTCCTC